TGCGACAGAGGTGGCAGAGCAGGCGGTTTCAGGGCACAGTCGTGATACTAATGCTATCCAAGAGGATGAACTTGAGCAGCATATCATCGGTTTGGAAAACGTCCAAACAAAAGCAGCTCCCGCCCTTGAACGAAACGAAAGCTTGCAAGCGAGCAGTCCCATGGATGTTTTCGAGTCTGCAAGCAGCCAGGAAAACTTTTTCAGCGAGGAAATCTCATCCAGGTTCAGTGCGTTTTCCGACGAGAACAACACCCCCAATAATGAATTGGAGGTCGAGGAACTTTACTCCATGCACGATGGGTACTCGGCAGATGACGACTCAATGAGAAATGGTCATTCAGAAGCAGCATCGGAACTACATTGGACACCTGCGGGGTCTACTGCTCCAAGTGGAGATGGAAAGCTGGAAATTCAACAACAGAACGAGGCAGAAAGAGATCTCAGCAAAGATGGGAAAGAGTCAGATGAACGTGAAGGTTCCACGGTGGACGTAAACCAGCAGCTTTTATCTCGACTTCACGATTTAAGTGCGCAACAACACGAGGACGAACTGGTACACAGTCTTCCCTCGGATGGTAAAGCGCAAGGAAACGAAATCGGCAATCATAAGGTGGACTCCGATGACGACAACGAGGTGGATCTCGAGCAAGACGTGGAAGAGCATCAACAACACGCTGAAAGCACTATTTCCAGCAGTCGTCAGCTGGAGGAAATCGAACGTCCCACAAGTCAACAAGCCTCTCCGAAGTTGCAAGCTTTTGACACCTCAAAGAGCGATGGCGATGCTATATGGGCAGCGGAAGACAACACGTCTGACAAGTCGGAGGAATCTTTGAGCTCCTCCCCAAGGTCTCCAGTTTTCGGCGTCCTGTCACCCGCTAAATCGGCAGACAGCCTTGAAAGCGAAGTTGCAACGATACTGGCGCCGAGTTCTCCAACGTCCCAGTCGATGCCGTCTCCAATGCCGGAAGAAATGCCACCGCTACCTCCACTGCCTCCACTAAGGTGGCGGACTTCGTTGTTCATGCCAAGGGACAGCGGACTATTCCAACGCGAGCCTCCAAGCTTGGAAGTTGGCGCTGGTGATCATCTCGCTTCAGCGCATGAGCCTCCTCCACAAGTATTGGTGGCGTCAGAGACTTCTCCATTCCAAGCTGTAGAGTCGCCGGAGCCTCAGCCACTGGAGGATACCATCGACAGGATTTCCTCACAGCCAGAAACGTTAGTCGACAAGCCACTTCCAGATTTACACTTGCCGGATCCGGAGCCACCTTCACAACCTTCCAGCTTCTTGTCACGGTCAATCGACGTGGACAATTTGGAACAACATCCAAGCTCGCAAAGCTTGGCCAACAAAAATATTTCAAACGACGATCCAGCTGATGCCATTCCTGTGTCTACAATGGATGAGTTTCGGGAAGAGGCTGAATCGCAAGAGCCGAGTGATCCAGAAACATCTCCTAGGACTGTCCCGTTGACGGTGGCTGACGTACCTCCAGCGCTACTCGTTGACGACAGCCAGTCGCTCGCAGCAACAGGCTTGTCTCATCCGGATGACAAAACTTGTCCCGATGCAGCAGTGCACGAATCCTTGGTGCCACCTCCAGCCGACGACAATGAGGTGCCTACAATTGCATCAGCCAGAGAAGATTTGTCACATCTCGACGACAGTCAACCGCTTATGGAAGTTTCGGTGTTCGCTCCCGCTTCACCGCTCACGGAACAGCTCCCCGGTCCAGGACCTGTGGCAGAAGCTCGCGGCCTGCCAGAATCATCGCTCCCACCTCAATGTCACTCGCCTACAGATGCTAGCGAATCTCCACAAGCTCCTTCGTCACCAAGAACTATAGACGACTTGCGGGAAGCGTCTGTGCCACCTCAAAGCCACTCGCCAGGAACTATCGACGACTTGCGAGAAGTGTCCGTGCCACCTCTCAGTCACTCGCCTACAGCTGCTAGAGATTCTCCACAAGCTCCTTGGTCGCCAGGAACTATAGACGACTTGCGGGAAGCGTCTGTGCCACCCCAAAGCCACTCGCCAGGAACTATCGACGACTTGCGAGAAGTGTCCGTGCCACCTCTCAGTCACTCGCCTACAGCTGCTAGAGATTCTCCACAAGCTCCTTGGTCGCCAGGAACTATAGACGACTTGCGGGAAGCGTCTGTGCCACCTCAAAGCCACTCGCCAGGAACTATCGACGACTTGCGAGAAGTGTCCGTGCCACCTCTCAGTTACTCGCCTACAGCTGCTAGAGATTCTCCACAAGCTCCTTGGTCGCCAGGAACTATAGACAACTTGCAAGAAGTGTCCGTGCCACCTCAAAGCCACTGGCCTACAGCTGCTAAAGAATCTCCACGAGCTCCTTCGTCACCAGGAACTATAGACGACGTGCGAGAAGTGTCCGTGCCACCTCGTAGCCCGTCCCCGACAAAGGAGTTCCCAGACGCATCCTCGCCAGTTCAAGCTGCTCAAACTCAACCTCAGTCGCCTGTACGAACAGAAGTATCCATACCATTACAGGGCCCGGAGTCGTTCACGGCGTCAAGGGACTCGCCAGAGGCACTCGTGCCACATCCAGTAGGAGAGCAGTCGGTGGATCCACCAGAGGTTTTGAAGTCACCTCCATCTCGTCCTGTCGATGACAGCCCGACACCCCCACCACTACGAGGCAATCTGGACGAGGAGCCAGAAACTTTTCCAGCTGATGCGCCATCACCCTCCAGGAAAGATTTGCCGGGTGATGCTCTGATACAAGCAATCTCCGTGCATGACAGGACCAAGGTAACGTGCAATCACGGGAAGCGTCGTACCTATGCTGATGGTTTGCTATATGTCACAGCTCAAGAGGGTGCCGTCGGACGTCCCGGGTGTGCCAAAAGCTCCTGACGAACGGGAAGTTTTGCTGGAGCAAATCCGTTCCCAGGTAAACATGATTGCACTTGAACTTTCTCTGTTTTCTATTCTTTTCTTCTGCTATCTCGTTGTTTGTTTGCTGAGCTACAAGTCGCTCGTCTGCATGTTTCACAGTCCTTCAACCTCCGGCACACGATCGTAGAGAAGAAGGAAATCAAGGAGACGACCCCGCGTCTTGTCACAAACATTAACGTGGCTGCCATCCTGGAGAAAGCAAACGCGATCAGACAGGTACTCTTTCTACGGTTTGCTCTTGTTTTCACTGGAGAGGTTCTCAAATCATGGTTAATCTCTTGCAGTCTCTCGCGGACAGTGAAGACGAGGAAGACGATTGGAGCGAGTGACGTTCGCTACTTTGGTAAGGCCTCCTTGTTTTATCTGTGAATATGTTATACATATATGTTCTTTGGTCAAGCGCTTCCAATTGGAAGAACTCTTGACGGATCCAAAATTCTATCGCAACATTGCAACGTTCCAAAGGAGGGTCAAAGTTTACGCCAGAGATTCTTCGATGTTCTCTTTTTCCCGGTGGACTGTCGCTTTTAACTCTGGATTTCCCTTGTCTCGCGTTGTCTAGGAGAATGAGATTCATCGTCCTACAAAGATGATTATGGTCGAGAACGTACAAGAAAGGAAAACGTTAACAACTTTGTGAATCACACGGGAAATACATAACACTCGAGCGCAGTAAACATAAACGCGTCCCTGCCACTCCAGCTTAGAAAGAAGGCTACCATCACCACGGCGCTCGACTTAAAGCCACTTACTTCCAAGCGCCTCCTTTTGCCTCTGGAAAGATTTTTCGCCTCTGGAAAGAACAGGACGTTGATTCTTACTCGTTCCTGAGGCCGGTGGAAATCTTCCTCAAAACCAGAGTCCCCAAGGAGAGAAAGATAAATCCCGGCGTACTTCACAGCGGTCGACCGTAGCGATACATTTAAGGAAGGCTGCCTGTGCGAAGTCTCTTGCCAGGAGGCCCCTGTTCTTGCGAGGTCTACCATTTTTTTTTCCTTTTTGTTCTTGCGCTCTTGTCTTGTCAAGATGGAAGCGTAAATGCTGCTGGTGACGAAAAGACCAGCATAACCACCACTGGTAGATAGCTCCCTAAGCTACGAAGGCCCCAGAAGAGCTTTGCCATTCTCCAGCAAGCAAGAGAAAAACCGATTTTTTTTAGCTGATCACGAAAGAAAGAGATCAAGAGAAAACATTTTAAAACAGTACCTGAAAAATGCGATGCCACCGTATCCGTGCGGGAGGATTTGTTTTCGGGTTGGCGTGGCCATCGTGATGCTAGTAGGCTGTCTATCATCTTTCTTTTCGTGTATGGATCCCAGCAACACGGTGTTTCGATCTAGTTTTCAAATACAAGTTAGCTAGCACATTTAAAACAATCTTGTCCCTGTAGCGTAGAACACTGTGTTTGTTTCTTGTATAGAAATCCCGAGTTAGCTCGCATGGAGACACCAGATCTAAAGCAATCTCGTACCTGTACTGTAGAACATCTTATATGGCTCTCGTACTGCGATTGGCGGAGCGTTTCGGTGCAGTGGCTGGCCGGAACGCCAACCCTCCGTGTACACACTGCGGCCTGGAAAGAACAACACAGCTATGTCTCCGGACCATGATTGGAATTGTTGTGGTGAAAATCATTCAATTTGGAATTGCCTTTAGCATTTCCAAATCGCTAAAGGCAAATTCCTTGTCTTCCATCCAAGCACTGTAGCGTAATATATAGCGTTGAATGAAGGAGCTTCGTCTCGTCCCTGGAAGAAGGAAGAGACAAGAAAACGAATATTAGTAATGCCATCCACTCTAATCCCGGAAAGAAACCATGCCTCGGTTTCTATGGTTTCCAGTCCCGCTAATTCCCACCACTTACCAGAAACCACGGGCGACGATAGCGAGTCACGACGATGGAGAGGAGTTGAATAGGACTGCAGTAGAGAGCGAGTGAGTGACCACCAAGAATAGAGTAAAATGTAAATGGCTTACGGACAGAAGGAGTCACATCTTTGGCAGCTCAAGTTGAATGCTCCTGCTCCTGTGCGCTTGCCGTCCATCCATGATCCATCCATCCCTTCAATCTCTTTCCTTCGCCATTTGTTGCATTAAGCTTTGGCAATTTGTAAGTTCAGTTCATCCTCCCCTTCGTCTTGTTAGCCGTGTCGCTAATCTCGCTGGCCTGCCTGACCGACGGCCTCGCTCCAACATTTATATCCTTGCATATTTTTCTCTTTTCTTTCTTCCGCTTTGCTTGCCATCCCACGCTCTAGAGCAATCTGTTCACTGTGATGGGAATTGCCGTGCGCCGACTGCTGGAATTTGGTGACAGCAACCCCTGCAGCAACATAAAGCTCTCCTCAGCCAGGGCGGGATATAACACAATGGAAAAAGAAAGGAAAGGAAGAGAGGAATTCAAACCTGTTGAGTTGCGGGAAGTGTAGTTATGGCATAGATAGCAGAGCTGGGCAGACGTAGCAGCAGCTGCAGACAAACAGCTTGTTGCCTTCGTTTGAAGTGTCCATTGCTTTCAGAGCCAGATGAGGGGATTAAAGTCCGTCCTCCCCTCCCCCCCTTGATCATGTTAACCACCTGCTGTTTGGTAGGCTCGCCCGGAATATGAAATAAGAAGGCCTTCTCCTCGGTCAAACTCTTCCAAAAGAGAGCTCATGTTGTCTACAGCACCAATCCACGAGCACGCTGCTAAGTTGCTACTGCTTCTCGTCGTCGCTTTTGTTCTTCCGCAAGTCAATAATGCGACCACCGCCGCCACCATCGCTGTTGCCTCCGAGCCGCAAATCCTCTTGAGCTTCAAGGCCAGCATTTCCGATCCGCTTGGTCACCTCGGAGACTGGCAGCTCCCTCAGAATGGCTCTTCCTCCTTTGAGCATTGTTCCTGGTCCGGAGTGTCGTGCGATTCGATTTCTCGGTCTGTCACAGGCTTGGACCTCCAAAGTCGAAACTTATCCGGAGCGCTCGACTCGACGGTTTGCAATCTCCCCGGCCTGGCTTCTCTGTCGCTCAGTGACAACAACTTCACGCAGCTCTTCCCTGTCGGCCTCTACAGCTGCAAAAATCTCGTCTTCCTGGACCTCAGCTACAACAACTTCTTCGGCCCCTTGCCGGACAACATCTCGTCCCTGCGCTCCTTGGAGTATCTCGACCTCGAGTACAATGCTTTCACAGGTCCCATGCCGGACGACATCGGGAATCTGTCGCAGCTCCAATACTTCAACGTGTGGGAGTGCCTTCTCACGACGATATCCCCGGCACTGGGAAAGCTCTCCAGGCTCACCAATCTCACGCTCTCCTACAATCCTTTCACCACGCCCTTGCCACCAGAGCTTCGCCACCTCAAGAGCCTCCAGTCCCTCAAGTGTGGCGGCTGTCAGCTCACAGGCAGCATTCCCGACTGGCTTGGAGAGCTGAAAAATCTCGACTTTCTGGAGCTGACATGGAATTCTCTGTCGGGCATCATTCCATCTTCCATAATGCACCTCCCAAAACTCACATCCCTGGAACTCTACAGCAACAAGCTCACAGGCCCCATTCCTTCCGAGGTGGAGTTCCTGGTGTCGCTCACGGACCTCGACCTCAACAGCAACTTTCTCAATGGCTCCATTCCGGACACGCTTGCGAAAATTCCCAATCTTGGACTCCTCCACCTCTGGAACAATAGTCTCACCGGAGAGATCCCCCAAGGCCTGGCCCGTCTGAGTAAGTTATACGACCTCTCCCTGTTTGGCAACCAGCTCACAGGTATCATACCGGCCGAGCTAGGACTTCACACCAGTCTCGAGATATTCGACGTCTCCACAAATCTTCTCACCGGAGCGGTTCCAAGCGGCTTGTGCACCGGGGGTCGACTTCAAAAGCTTATCTTCTTCAACAACAGCCTTTCTGGAGGAATCCCGTCGGCCTACGAAGACTGCGAGTCCCTCGTTCGTGTCCGAATGTATCACAACAAGCTGTCTGGAGCGCTTCCGAGCGGGATGTGGGGACTGCCTCGTATGACCATCTTGGAAATTTACGACAACAACTTCCAAGGCTCGGTGCCGCCGCAGCTCGGGCATGCCACTAATCTCGAAACGTTGAGAATCCACAACAACAAGTTGACCGGAACGATTCCCACGGACATTGACAAGCTGCAAGTACTGGATGAGTTCACGGCATATGGAAATAAACTCTCAGGTACTATACCGGACAATCTGTGTAAGTGCTCCTCGATGTCAAAATTGCTGCTGGGATCAAACCAGTTGGAAGGAGAAATTCCAAGCAACATCGGGGACTTGAGCAGCCTTGCCATCCTCGACTTGTCCAACAATCACCTGTCCGGTTCCATACCACCGTCGATCGTAAAGATGGTGTCACTCAACTCGCTGGACCTCTCCAGGAACAACTTCAGCGGCGACATTCCTCCGGTGCTGACCAGAATGAGGCTCAAAGATTTCCTGCTCTTCAACGTCTCGTATAACGACTTTTCCGGAGTGCTTCCACAAGCACTGGACGTCCCCATGTTCAACTCGAGTTTCATAGGCAATCCCAAGCTTTGCGTCGGGGCTCCCTGGTCTTTGAGGAGGTCCATGGACTGCCAAGCGGATTCCTCTAGACTCCGCAAACAGCCTGGCATGATGGCCTGGATAGCAGGAAGTGTTCTTGCGTCGGCAGCGGCAGCGTCAGCCCTCTGCTCATACTATCTGTACAAAAGATGCCATCAGCCATCGAAAACGAGGGACGGGTGCAAGGAGGAGCCATGGACAATGACCCCGTTCCAGAAACTCACGTTCACGATGGACGACGTTTTGAGATCGTTGGACGAAGACAATGTCATCGGCAGCGGAGGTGCTGGAAAAGTTTACAAGGCAACGTTAAAGAGCAACAACGAGTGTAGCCACCTCGCAATAAAAAAGCTGTGGTCCTGTGACAAAGCGGAGATCCGGAACGACTACGGCTTCAAAACTGAGGTTAACATCCTGGGAAGAATTCGACACTTCAACATCGTTAGGCTTCTCTGCTGCTGCTCGAATGGAGAAACCAACCTGTTAGTATATGAGTACGTACCAAATGGCAGCTTGGGCGACGCCCTGCACCACCCCAGCACAAAAATCTCCGGAGTTCTCGACTGGCCAGCTCGGTACAGGATTGCTCTCGGCGCAGCACAGGGGCTCTCGTATTTGCACCACGACTGCGTTCCGGCCATCCTCCATCGTGATATCAAGTCGAACAACATCCTTCTCAGCGACGAGTACGACGCACTACTAGCTGACTTTGGCATCGCAAAGCTCGTCGGGAGCAACTCCTCCACCGAGTTCTCGATGTCGGTCCTTGCAGGATCTCATGGCTACATTGCACCCGGTACGTATCTTTAGTCACATAGCATTCTTCGCATTTTTCAAGAGAACTTCAACATCCAAATGCATAGCATTCTCTCCTCATTTTTCTTTCTCTCTCTCTCTCTCTCTCTCTCGTGCATTGCAAGCTATTTCATTTTTCTCCTCCTTTTTTCCATTTTTCTCCTCCTCTTTCCGTTTTTTTTCATTCCCGTTATGCAGGCAAGAAAGAAAAGCAAGAGAATAGATCACGCATTTCATTCCAGTAGCATCACCAAGAAGCACAGGGAAAAAGAAAGAGCTAATGCTTGTGCTTACCATTTATTTTGGCAGAGTACGCCCACCGGATGAAAGTGAACGAGAAGAGCGACGTCTACAGCTTCGGCGTCGTGCTGCTAGAGCTCGTCACGGGCAAGAAGCCGGTCGGAAGCCCTGAATTCGGCGACAACGGCGTGGACATCGTCACCTGGGCGTGCAACAGCATCCAATCCAAGCAGGGCGTCGACGCCGTCATCGATCCCCGCCTCTCGCCCGCGATCTGCCGCCAGCGCGATCTCCTCCTCGTCCTCAAGATCGCCCTGCGCTGCACCAATGCCCTAGCCTCCTCCCGCCCATCCATGCGCGACGTGGTGCAAATGCTCCTGGATGCCCACCCCGGTTCGAATCCCCCCAAAAAGTAAAGAATATGCGCACGCATCTTTACAGAACATTCCTTTCCGAAAGAAGGTATCTTACAGACATAGTAGCAAAGTGGATGTCTAGATGATCAAACCAAGCTCCCGCAAGAGACCCTCGTCCTTTAACAGGAACTTGGATGCTCTCGCTGGGCAGGCCCTGTTCTTACACTTGTATCGCGGCTGGGAGATCTTCCTGTTGTTGAAATCGCAGAAACTGGAGGGCTCGCCACAGGTCTTGCAGGGCGGATTGATCGATCGAGCGCGCTCGAAATCCCAGCTGTCGGGAAGGCCCCAATGGACGGGCGTGAACGGCGGATGGTTCTCTCCCCCAGGGGGCCGCCCCCTCTTCCTCTTCTTCACTGCCGGAGGGATCGCCGGCCGATAACCGCGAGCTTGATCCGGATCATCCTCAAACATCGCGGTGGGCGCTGGACGCGCGGGCGCTACCAAAGGCTTGATCTTCTCCTCCCGTGGCCTGGAAGCTGGAGGCGCGGGCGCTGCCAAACGCTGAATCTTCTCCTCTCGTGTCCTGGAAGCCGAGCGCCCCGGAAGCGATGGTGGATTTGGGGGAAGCTCGAGTGGCGGAGGCTCGTCGAGCTCCAGATAATCGGAGACCTCCCTGATCATCGGGGAACACTGCTTCGCAACCCTGGACGAGATCCCACTTCGACCGTTGTGGAAACCCTAACCCTCGATATATATATATATATACCCAGCGTTTTAAAGGTGGTTTCTATTTCAATTTTAAAGATAAAACGGTTTAAGAAAATGTATTGAATAAAGTTTGTCTTTATCAAGTGTCCACCCTAATGTGGCTGCTTCATTCAGCACTTTTTCCGTGGTCCAGATTTCGTTTGGGTTTTTTAACGGACAAGATTTTTTTTAATAACCATGCACAATTAAATTCTTTTGCTTTAATAAAAGTTTACCATATGATTGTGAACAATATCAAATGGTATAGTGTACGTTTTAATGTTTAATCACTTCAAATATTAGTAGTTTGTTATAATTTACATGCTTTTCTTCGGGTCCAAGAATTAATAAATACAAAAGCTGAGCTTGGAAATCGCTCCTGCTGGGACTTCTTGACACCCTTGGGAGCCTCCTAAATAGATCATACGCTGGTCTTGAGGGCCATGCCAAAATGTTGTCATACTTTCCAATCCCAAGTTCGTCTTCTTTTGCTTGGAGCCTGATAACCCAGGCCACGGAAGAATTGAAAAGCAAGACTCACTGAAATGCTGGCTGTTCCCGAGACACCCTTCACCACCTTCCTCTCCCGCATAGTGTCTCCTTTAACGTGAGCAGTCACGGCATAGAGCACTGTCTCCCGGGTCCGCTCACCACAACGTCTACCAGATTATTCGAATTATACCTTGTATTGTGCATCTTCTCTATGATAAAAGAGGATAAAGCATACGAGAGATTACAACATTTTAACAGAAAAGACTAAACTAATACTGATAATACACCCTAAAAGAAAGATAGATACCTGAAATTATAATTAATTGTTGTAATTATAATTAAACAGATGACATTGGTTATGATGAGAAAGATTAATGCAATTAGAAAGGTTACAAGGTGGTGACTTTAAATGCAAATCTTACTGAGAATACAGAATTGATAATGATAAGGTTCTTACCTTTGGAAATAAACACCACATACCTACTATACATTGGCCACATACAAAGCACATAAACGTAAATTCATATGCGACCCCAGGTTTAACACCGGCAATGGCGTGTACGAGCTAGGCTGTGGACTTGACAAGATAGTCATGTCATGGGGCCATGACGAGTATCTGTATCAGGTGTGTGTAAATACATAAATTACAAACTTTATATTTTACAATTTTAAATCTGCTAGAGTCAGTCATTGAATATAAAATTTCTAGTAAATATTCTTTTAGATCTGTAAATGCATCACTGGTGAAATAGATCAATATAGTCTTATGGTCTCATATTCTTCCATTTTGCAACTCATCAACAAAACATAAAGTTCCAAAAGTTTAAACGTCTTTATCTTTTTTACCCAAATCTTCTTATATGCTTGCTCTGTAATCCAAGAAATGGCATTTTCAAAACCATCTGCCCCTTTGAGTGGAATTCTCTCATAACATTTAATAATAAAAGTTTTGGTAAAATTGATACACCCATTTGTGTTGCCCAAAACAATTTAGCAGTATTGAATCTTTGTATATTTATGATAGTATACAGAGACATAAACACGGGAATACATGGGGTTTTCTTGTTCACTAGCATGGCACTATATATATATAATGAGTAACATATCGTTTATATAAAAGTAATTTTTATTACACCAAATATAAAGATTTTACTAACTAAATAGAATAGAACAAGAAATATCCTACAACACCAAACAAGAATGAAGGAGAAAAGCATAATTCTAAACACTAGAAAGAATTGCCAAAAAACCTTACTCTTCAATCATGCACCTGGATAAATTACTTTCTTTCCTGTCTTTACTTTATAGTATTATATTTATATACACACATTTATTTATATACCTTAAAATATATAATATCCAGGTGTAATAAATGGAAAAGTTTTATTCAAGCCTTTAATAGTGAATCAAATTGTCCAATAATATATATAAAGTTATTTTATCCCAATTATTTCAATAAAATAATTAGTGAAGATAATCTAAAACTTTAATTGAAATACAGATCAATTTAAATATTAATTTTTTACTTTGCAATAGCACAAACTACATAAAAAATTATAAACATTAGTATTGTGTAAGAAAAAAAAGACATTAATTTGAAATATGGTCAATAAAAGTTAAATGTAAAATAAAAGGTTTATAAACAAAATTGTACCCATTTTTTAATCAGTTAAAGGTTTCAATAATTAAGCATCTTTGCTTGGGTTTAAGTAATACTGGTTTAGGTGACATTTTGAAAAGTTTAAAGAGTGAATTTTTATATATTATTTAATCCTTTATACTTTTATTATTGTAAATGTAAATGTGACTTAAAACTAAAGACAAGAACTATTACAAAAATAATTTATTTATAATTTGTTTCAATGCTAATTATATTTTGTAATACTTTCCTTGAAATATTAAAATATTGTCAATATTTATTTTTTATTTTATTATATTTATCTAAATCATTAGAAATAGTTTTAATATATCAGCTTTATATAATCAATAATTAATTTTACTAGCAATAAGATTATGATGTAATGTTAAAAAATTTAGAATGTACTTCTACTATTCTTTTCATTAGCATCAATTGGATTAATAAATAGGAATAACATTACTATTAGCAAACCAAATGTTACTTCATATAATGCACAACAAATTATTAATATTTTAAGTTTATTATTTCAATAAAAAATATTACCATTGGTAAATTTTACAAACACAAATGGTCTGGTGTTCATAAGTTAAAATAAATTTGTCAGAAATTTGCCGATTTCATCAACACAAAGGATCAAACTTTGATGGCAAAGAGAAAACATCTTGTTCACATCTGTTTCGTCAAGGCTCTATGAGATAGTAATGTTTTCATAGAAGTACTAGAGCTTTCTTAAGAAATTGCATGTGGTTTTGACTAGATCTGTACTGAACATTTACTATCTTTATGTGGTTGTTTGTACCTCACTCTTAAAACTATTTTATATTCACTTCAGTTGAAGTCTCCTGCAAACATAAAGTCACACCTATGTTTTTTTCCCTCATCATACATTCATGCATCTTTGTAATTGAAAGTGAGCATCTTTGGGATAAACTTTCTTAGTTAATTTACCTTCATCATACCAATGACTTGGGAGGGTATTTTCAAATAATCATCTATTCATTTTTTAAAGGTTGAAGTTTACCAGATGGAAAATAAAGGTCCATGTGCTCACTTACTAAAGCTAGTAATGAAAACTATCATATTTAATAATTACTCTAGATGATCAAACCAAGCTCCCCGTCCTTTAACAGGAACTTGGAGTCACGCTTACAGCAGACCTTGTTCTTACACTTGTATCGCGGCTGCGTGATCTTCTTGTTGTTAAAATTGTTGAAACTGGAGGGCTCGCCACAAGTCTTGCAGGGCGGTTTGATCGATTTTGCTAGCTCAAGATCATCGCTGGTGGGAAGGCCTTCGTGGGCGGGCTGGAACACTGCATGGTTATCTTTCCCAGGGGACCGCCCCCTCTTCTTCTTCACAGCCGGAGCGATCGCTGCCTGGAGCCCCCCTGTCTTTGGGATTGCCTCGTATGACCATCTTGGAGATTTACGACAACTATTTCAAAGGCTTGGTGCCATCGCAGCTCACTAATCTCCAGACGTTGAGAATCCACAACAACAAGTTGACTGGAACGATTCCCACGGACATTGACAAGCTGCAAGTACTGAGTGAGTTCAGGGCGTATGGAAATAAGCTCTCAGGTACCATACCGGACAGTCTGTGCTCAAAGTTGCTGTTGTGATCAAACTATCTGGAAGGTGGAATTCCGAGCAACAGATGCATTCTTAAGCTTTTACAGGGCAAATGAAGGCTTAAATCTGTCAGAGCGTGCGGGAGAACTATCAAGCCAACCCCCAGTAAAAACACTTTCCATTTCTTCTTTTCTTCATCTGATTCTTCGTCTGAAAATCAGACGAATCCAACCAGCTGCTCAATGCATGTGATCCAATAAGCCAGACAGTAGGGCATGCATGTGAGATGGCCTGCGTAATCTTCATTTCCCAGTGCCTGTCTTGCACGGTTGAGGAAACCTTTTCAAAAATCTAAAGGCTGAAGATAACAGGTGTTAGAACCCAGCGACAAGTAAATGATCCACACCTGTTCCGCCATGGAACGCCTTTCATGAACGGGCTGGAGAGTGAACTGCGACGATTTGTGGCAAGCCGCCGGATGATGCTGTCAAGTTCATATGATCATCGCCGGAGGCGATCAATGACTAGCTCGAGGCTCCAGTGGATCGTTTCCACGTCCGAGGAGGACGGGGAGGGCGAGCTCAAGATCTTCAACCACATACGAGCTCTGCCGTTCAACGCCCACGACTTCCACTGCGTGGTTGGACGCGACGCCGACTTGATCATGCTGGCTCTCGCTAGCCCGCTCTCCAGGAAGATTAACATCGTCCACCAGACGCCAAAGGACGGAGTGATGATTTACAAGCTCATCAGCATCGAGACGCTCGTGTGTGATTTCGAGGTGCAGATGGAAGAGCCGTGCTCTGTGCGGCTGCGGTCCACCATGAGGGATCTCGTGTTCCTGTGCTTCCTTCTGGGGAACGATTTCCTGCCTGGCCTGGAGGCGCTCACAATCCGAAACAATGGCATCGACAAGCTCCAGCAAACGTACATGGAGGTTTTCAGTGAGGCGGGGGAGTTTATAATCGACTGCGATGGGATCGGAGACTTGAGCAGCCTTACCATCCTTGACTTGTCCATCACCTGTCCGGTTCCATACCACCTTCGATCGTAAAGATGGTGTCACTCAACTCGTCCAGGAACAAGCTCAGCGTCGACATTCCTCCAGTGCTGACCAAAATGAGGGTCAAAGATTTCCTGCTCTTCAACGTCTCATATAACAATTTTTCTGGAGTGCTTCCACAAGCACTGGAAGTCCCCATGTTCAACTCGAGTTTCATAGGCAATCCCAA